ACAGCTGGTACAGTTGAGAGACACGTCCGAGCGTAGTTTCTTCTAAGAGATATCCTATCCTCCAGCCCATGGTTTCAGCAAGACTTTGGCCTGACGTGGGGTGTCTGCCAGTTGATCGCAGTCTGAGTTTACCTGATTTAGAGGATGTGCAGGCATCTAAGTGACCCTTTTGTGGAGCCCCAGTTCAAGAGCGGGTTGGAAATATTGACACTTCTGTGTCAGCCTCAGTGCTGCATCCAGCTTTAAGGGCGGCCGACAGACATGGGACAGATGGCAGAAATGAAGTAGAGCTCTCTGATGCTTGACCTAGTCTGCCACGCATGGCAGGACGCCACACTGCCTGTCAGTAAAGTATCCATGGAGGGCTCCAAAAATGCACGTGCTGGCCAGGGACCGGTGGGTCTCATGTACTGCTGAACTGTGGGCAGCAGGGACTTCTGAATGGTACGGGAGAGCCAAGGTCTCTGGGCTCTGCCTGCGCCCGTCTTACTGCCAGACGGACCAGCATAGGTTCTTCGATCTGAACCTCCTCGCGGCTTTATGTGGTGGAAGTGAAAACTGGGGGAAGGACTGCAGCTTGAGCCAGAGCCACCCGGGACTGAGGAGGAGCTTGTTTCAATCCTTAGCAGCTAGAGGGATCGTGTTTCCAGCCTGCTGTCCCGCTGGTGTGTCAGGAGGTTACATCCAGTGAATCCAGAAACTGAAATCCTTTTGTATTTAACCTGCCATTAATAATTGCATGTCCAAATTTATCTTACAGCTGTGGTGCTCTAAGAAGGACTGATTTTTGTAATGACAGAGGCCCGGGGCTGTCAGCGCGGAAGGGACCCAGAAGCAGCTGCCAGTCTGCAGTGATTCTCGCCCATCTGCTGTGCAGATACCACAGGGAGCTCTGCAGTGCCTGGAGAAGTGAGGTCCACGCTGCCTCCCCGGCGATGCTGGGTCCTGGTCACATGTCCCCGTAGAGCCATGGGATCCTGACCTGGCCTTGTACCATTATATGCATTGAGAGCAATATCTTGTCTTTGAACATGGGTTTGTGACCCCATTGTCCTTTTAATAAGTAATGGAAAAGCAACTTCAAAAGAGAAAGTTGGGTCCGGCTCCCCAGCAAGCAAATGATGCATCTCCCAGCATCCTCCTTGGCCGTTGTGAGTCCCTGGTAAACCCCTCTCTGTATGAACTTCAAAAGGAGAGAGCTGTCGTTTCAGAAAATTATGGACAAAAGCACTGGCATCCTGGGAGTGCAGCCTGATGGTATGCCTATTATCAGCTGCTAAGCAAAGTGTGTTTATTTTAGCACAAAGGCACTGGTGACTAAGCTTGAAATATTCTGAAATTGGTGCTGAAATAACCTCGAGGTCATCCTGAAGGTCCCACAGCTAAACAGATTAGACAGATGTGTTAGGGATGAGCCATACATAAAAGCTCAGGGCTCAAACCTCCTGGCAGAGAGAGGAACAAGAAATCTTCTAACAATGACTGAAGACAGTACGGTTGAAATGCCAAAGAATTTTAGTTGTCTGAATTTTTTCAGGTGAGAGATTAGCTAAATTCAGGGTGAAGTAAAAGTGAAATATGGTCAGGAGCCAGCAGCTTAAGACATGTAGTAGAGCAATTGATCCTGAAAGCGGCAAGCCACGCATTGATATTCCTGGGTTTATCAAAGGATTTTGCCTCTGTAGTCATCATGATGCATATTTAAAGTGATGCATGTTAAAGTAGGCAGTGATCATTGTGTGATTCCTTATATGCCATTTAAGTTCTCAATCTCTCCTTTTGGTGAAAGTATGACAGCATCTCTGTGTTAAAGTGAAACCTGTGCCAGCCTCTGCAGGCACACAGTCAGAAGTATCGCTTTTGAGAGGGACTTGTTTAATTTAAGGCCCTGTCCTGTAGCAGGGAGTTCAGCGCAGGAACAGAAGCTGTGGCCGTCCTGCTCTGCGCTGTGGGGCAGTCCCAGCGCTGTTTGTTTTACTGGTGTGGCTGCAGCCAGAACGTGCATTTCCCAGCTCCACCGGGATGGTCCCCAGCATGGCGTGGGGAAGTGAGCTTTTCCTGCATCTTGCTTTCCCATGTGTAAGATGAGGAGATGCTTCCTCGCCTCAAAGGGATGTTGGGAGAAGTCCATCCTGATGCGGGCAGGGAGAGGCTGAGAGCAGCAGAGGAAGAATTCGGCTCTGTTTGCGTGCACCACTCCTGCGGTGGCTGCAGGGGCACCTGATTACTCGTGGGTTTTGGCAAACTTCCCTTTACACCTTTCCTTTTCTGCTGGAGGCTTCAAGAGAGTCATGGACAGGAGCTGAAAATAGTCAAAATGACCACCTCTTCCCTAAAGAAAGTAATTAAATCATCCTCCCCCCCGCCAAAGTGCTTTTGGTGTCAGCACCTCTTCTTCATGGACCCACATAATGCCGACAGCCAAATTATAAATTCTTTATAAAGGGGTTTATCCCTCTGCTGAATGAGCTTGCAGCAGAAGCCCAGACACAACGTGCCGGCTGTGGCACCTTCTCTGAAGGTCTGTCGCCATCAATCTTGGCCTAATGCTAATGTCATGGTGTTAAAAATACACCGGGTGCAGAATGGCCGGTAAATGCTTTTTTTGTCACCGTGGAAGAATGATGTGGTGGCAGTGATCCAAACCTCATGTCTTCTACTGGAATGGCTGCTTATGCACCGGCCAGGGCCTTCGTCCAAAGAAGTGTCTCCTCATTGCATAGCTCCACGCGTATGTTTTTCCTCACCACTGCCAGCTTGTCTTTAAGGAGGGACATTGCATACAGGTGGAAAGTTGCTTGGGCACCTGCCCATTGCACTCAACTGGACCCCATGCTACCACATAAATTAAAATCAAAGTTAAATGGTTTTTGTTTGGTTTTCATTTTTAGGAGTGCCAAATCCCAATGTTGTATTTAAATTAGCAGGAGATTGTCAGGGGTACTTCTTGCTGCATCAGGCTTGTTGTTAACTTGCTTAGGACCACTGTTGACAAGGGTGCTGCAAATCCCAGGTATCCCCATGCCTCTCCTTCCCCTCCTCAGAAATTGGGGCTCTGCAACTGCTGGCGAGCATGCCGGGCTTACCTGCAGACAGGCTGGCACGCAGGAGGGGGTCATCATACAAATACGCACCCTTGGTTATGGGCCACAAAGCTAACGTGTCCAAGATCAGATACTTTTTCTTTTGGGTTCTGGGTCCTGTTTTGGTGTCAGCAACCTTGGCAAAGCATCAGGGTGGGTGAGAGAAATCAGAGTGGGATGCTTTTGGGTTTGTCGGGTTTTCTTCCATGTCCTGTCTGATGTCTGCATTGGTGCAAGGATGGGCTGGTGCCCTGGCTCATCTCTGACCTCCGGGTAATGCAGTTGTCCCCAGCTGGGATTAGAGGAGAACAGGGGATGACGAGCGTGCTGGGGCAGCGTGCGGCGGGCTCCTACACTGCCTGCTAAACACGCAGCTGAGCAACGCCTGCAGCTTCACCACGAAGCTGCTGCATGTGCAAACCGGGGTTTGTTCCTCGAGAAACACGCTGCCACGTCCTCCACCTGCCTTCCTGGCTGAAACCTGGGCAGGGCACTAAGGGCTACTGGTGAAATGTTGATCTGCCTGAAACTTTAGAGCTTCACTGGAGCATCTCCATTTCCCAAGGAGGAGCGGGAGTTGTTTCCCCGTCTGAGAGTGCCCTCTGGCGTACTCAGGAGACAGTAAAGATTGTAGTTTATTGAGGTGGTTTTACTCGGCTTCCTCCTTTTCTTAAAGCTTTGCAGCCAGCATGGTTATTCATCAAAGGCTGCCAGGTAGGCGCATGCCATGAAGCACCAAGATGTGACCTCCAGACCAGTGCCCTGTGTCATCCGCATTTATACACCCAGCAGCCGATGATCGCTTTTTTTAACGATACTTGCCACGTGCAGCATATCAAGCAGGAGGCTTGATTTTCTTCCAGCGATGCCTGGCAGGTCCCTGCAAGCAGCCTGTAGCAGGTCCTGCTCCGGCTGTGCCTGGGCAGCGCTGCTCCCCTGCCCCAGGCGCTGCCTCCGGGCACACACCTGGGGCTCCTTGACTGCGCAGCGCAAGCAGAACCGCTCCAGTTCTAGGCTGCATTTCAAACCCCTGAGTGAATAGGGAAACAAGGCTGCAAAGACATAGGAGCAGCTTTTTATAAACAAATAAAACCTAGCCCTGTTCTCCGGGTGTTTAAAAGTGGTGGCAGCAGGAGCATGCATTGCCTTAGTTACGTGGAACTGAAAACAGACAGCAAGCGTGAGGCATAAACACAAAAGCTGCAGTAAATATAAATCTTCCCCCACATGTAGAGTCCTTTCTTGGAAAAACGTTTCATCTTAACTCTGTTACAACATTCTGGTTTGAAAAGAAAAATAATTCTTTTTTAAATGGTTTCAAACTCATGTTGGCAACTGCAGTAGCAAATGTGCTGGTAGGGAGCAGAGGAGCGTGTTGAGCGCTCTGGCATTGCACTCTGCTGGGGACAGACCAGGTGGTTGGGTATTGCAGTGGCTTACCTGGCAGCTGCTGGTTGAAGGCACCTTCTAGCAGAACAGCACAGGTGTGACATTTTGAGGAACGCTGTCAAGTATGGATCACTCTCTGCATGCCCTTTCTTCTTTCCTCCTTGCTCCTCTCCTGGGGTGTTTTCCAGCATGAGTCAGGCTACCCTCACTCACTCTTGCTAGGTTATTTTGTGTTGTAATCTGCCAGGAGGTGGTCCAGGCTTGCAAAGCTACCTCCTCCTGCCCGGAGGTGGGACTGTTGTCTGGATCCAGCTATTGGCGTTCATCAGTGACTGCCAGTGGAAGAGGAGGTGGGGTTAGTCAGGCTTGAGGCTGAGAAGACCCATGCTGGGGTTGGATGCTCGTCTCCAGCTGTGCGGCGGCCATGCTCAGATGTCCTAGTTCGCTTCTCAGCAGCCGGTTTTTGCTCACATTTTCTCCCCGCTCTCTGCTGACCTTTCTCTTCTCTCCCTGTTTTTTTTTCCTCAGGTCGAAAGCTGAGAGGAAAAGCCTTTTACTTTGTCAACGGCAAGGTGTTCTGTGAAGAAGATTTCCTGGTAAGCACACAGCTGACCCTTGTGCTGGCACACCTCAGCCTCCCTGGCAGACACGCAGCCTTTCTGCCTGTCAGCTTTGCCTGCATTTTGCACAGCGCTGGTCCAGCATCCTGCCTGGCCCTTCTGCTCCACCGTTTACCCCGGGGTCAGCCCCAGCCATGGTGGCTGCCCACACGTGGTGCTGGAAGTCACCAAGTGAGAGGCCACGGTTTTGCAGTGTAGAACACCTAGTCAAAGCCTTGATCTCTTGCGATGGCTCCTTCAAAGCCTGTCTCTGTGGCCATGCCGTGGAGGCAGGAGCAAGATGAATGGCTACAGAAGAATGAATGAGTGAATTTCTCTTTCCAGTGAACTGGGTTTGCTTGGGCATCTTAATGGATATCTTTGTGTTGCCCTCAATGGATTTTGTGTGAACGTACCTGAGCATGAAGAAACCCCACGGTCCTCTCCTTGGCTGGTGGAGATAAAAAGCCATATACCCTTCTGTCCCTGAGTCCTGATAGATGAAGCCTTCATTGAGACTTGAAAAAGTCATAGTTGCCTACTTATTGGGGAAGTCTAGTGATTTCTGTCAGAGAGAAGCGAATTAATCTTCTTTGCTGTTATCAGTATATTCTATTCAGGCTGAAAATGGAAAGATTGGTTAAATGCATCTAAAATATTTCATTTTTCCTGTTTGCATTTCCACCATTCAGATAGGACTGAAACCTTCGACAGGGTGTTGTGCCTGAGGTGCATGTTGTGGATGTGACAGGCAGTTCCTTACCATTAGATCTCAGCAATAGCAGCAGAAAAGTTTCTCTGGGCCAAATTTGATTGTTATACTAACAGGGAGCTGGGACAATACCACTGACCTCGAAGAAGCTTCAGTAGACCTATAACGGTGTAACCAAAGGAAGAATTTGGCTTTCCAAGCCTATATATACAGATACTGTGATATAATAAACACAAGTAAGTTCCTGTCTTGTAGATCCATGTGATCAAATAAGCATGTAAGTCTTAGTAAATGCCTTATTTGCATGTGCATTTATGGTATTTACTGACATACTCAATTAAACTTAAATTTAGGAAGTTGGAAGTTACAGGAACTTGTACTCTTTCTGAACCCTGGAAGTCTGGTGTCTTTATTGAATATCCTCTGGGAACCCATCCACAGCTTCATGTACTGAAAAAAGGCACTGGAAAGTTTAGCTTGTGTAAAGAGTACAGAGAAAAGCCATGCAAATAACACCCCACAATACATTGTTGTTTATGCTCGACTAGCCTTGTGAAATTTTAAGCCAATTCTTTTTTGTCCTTGCAGTATTCTGGTTTCCAGCAGTCAGCTGACAGGTGTTTCATTTGTGGTCATTTGATAATGGACATGGTAAGTGATAATTGCTTTAGGAGAAAAAAATCCCACAGCTTTTTAGAAGAATGCATCAAAAGCAAAATATATTCATATCCAGTACTGTCTGTGATCAGCTGGTAGTGTGCCAAGTGTGAGATTGGTAGCAAAAAGAAAATCCACTAAGCCTTTTGTTGATTTTTGCGAGGAAGTAAAGCTGGCACCCTGCTCTGTGTGGTGCAGAGACACTGCTCTGCCTGTTTTCAGTGCACATTGAAAAGCAGAGCCTTCAGCTCCTTCATCCTCTTTTGGGCTTACCCTGGGCAGTGTATTCATAATCCTGTCGATGCTTCCTGCTCAGAAGTGCCATGGCTCTGCAGTGCTCCGTGGCTGCGGGGCATCGGTGCGGGTCTGCTGAGCCTGTCTTTCCTGGAGTCACGCTGAGACTTCCCACATACCTTCAGGATGAAGCTACTGTCTTGTTGCCGGTTTTTGTGAGTGCTGATGCTCTGGGGAACAGGTTTGACCCAGAGTATGTGATCCAGACCTCAGTTCAGATCTGCCCAAGTCCTTGCAAACTCTTCAGTAGATGCGTGGACATCCTGCTGAAGCAGGCAGCTCTCGTTAGCCTACAGCAGGTACCATCCATCCATTCAAGATGTGCATGGAGTGGGTCACGGCTCAGCTGGCCTTTAGCCGGCACCAGGCAGCATTCAGCTGTGGGTGATTCAGAGGGAGACAAATTCATGATTGTGTAGCTGGTGGTGTAAAACTACAGCTGAGGCAAAGAAATTAGGAATTTCTGGGTGGTCAGTTCACAGTACGCCTCCCAAGATTTTCTAATGCTTATCGTTAATTATCTTTGCTTGACTGCTTACACTGGAAAGCACTAAAATTGGAAAAGCTATTTCATACTCAGAAGTCTGATTGCTTGGCTGATGGACCATGGTATTCCAGGTAGTAATTGCTGCCCCAAAGCCAGCAGGTGAATTGCAGCTGTTGAGTTCAACGCATTTTCCATAGTCTGTGTTAGTTAGAAAGCCAGGCTAGTGAGTACAAAGCTCTTGGATATCTAAGGAATTATGAAAACCTAGCAATAGTATTTGTTTCAGCCTCTCATGGAGATTATGAAGATGTATTTCCTTTTGTTGTCCTGCTACGTCTTGCCTTGTGATCCTGCTAAGTATTCTCTAACTGTTGGCTTCAGAAATTTTCTTTCCTTTAAATTCCGTCACTTCTATGTTTTGTAATGCTAAATACCTTGACTGAGACTCTAAGTTGTTATCTTACCCATGCTAATAATTAATTTCTCTGGAACCAGGTGATATATACTGATTCCAGCTGCCCTTTCCATCCCTGTTAGCACATTTTTCAGATGAGGTGCCTGAAAAAAGACACAGGCCCACTGATGAATAAGCAGCATTGCCTGGCATAAAGCTGTGTGTTTATTATTTTCACCTTTATTGGCTGTTCACATGCATTTTTCCTGTCTCTTCATTCGTTGCAGATCCTGCAGGCTCTTGGGAAATCATATCATCCAGGCTGCTTCCGATGCGTGGTCTGCAACGAGTGTCTGGATGGTGTGCCATTCACTGTAGACTCTGAAAACAAAATCTACTGTGTCAGGGATTACCACAAGTAAGGACAAAATAAACAGCAGAGATGCTCCAATCAACAAGTCTCTAATTAGCTTTTCAGCTAGTTAGGAAGTGTGGATTAGTAAAATAGGAACAGGGTTAAAAGCTAGAAGTTTGAGGATGGGGCTAGATCCTAGAAATCCCCGATGTCTCTCCTCTTGTCCTGCTGTTGACTCCTGTGTAACTCTGAGTAAGTCACTTAACTCCTGGGCTTCAGCTGCCCCTTCTGCAAAGCAGAGATAGTGAGAAACAGTGCTCATGAAGTGTTCAGTAATGTAAGAAATCAGTCCACTCTAGTAAGACTGTGAATGCCTGTGGAAATCAATGTGAGTTACTTTTTGAGTAGCTGAAGGGCTGAGTTTGACTTTCAAGGAATCACCACTGAACCTGCAAAGCAAAAGTTACCCAGCTCTAAATTAAACAACTGATAAATCCACTTAAAAAATCACTTGGCATTTAGACAGTAAAATAAAATGGCTGTGCTCTTAGCTGGTAGTTATAATACTAGAGCTGCATACATTTTGAGTGTCCTGGCTTGCTTTGCTCCTTGCTCCGTTTTCTGAGCAGGCAGAGCATTAAGTGTTGCTCAGGCAGCCCCTGGAATTGTTCTGTGTTGTGCCAAGATTAGAGTTGCCTCCATGTGCCACCGTTGTTCTGAAATGATGCATATTTCCTTGCAATTTAATTTAATTATTTATTTATGGTGTTATGTTGTGTTACAAGGCCTTAAGGAACCATACAGTCCCACGGTATTTTCTCTGAGGTTTCCTGCCCCGAGGCTGCCAGTTCTTTTGATGTGTTTTTCTGGGGAGAGTCCTGCTCAGTTTCTCCTCATTCTCTTTTCCAAATCTCTCAGTAGCAGCCAAGAATTTTACAGTGGGTTTGGGGTTTTTTTTCTGGCACTAAGTGTAAAACATAAGGTCTCTTTTTGCCTGATTGAGCAACGTGTGCCAAGCATTACTTACAATCAATGCTAAAATTAATTTTTGATCTCGGGATGCAAAGCTTTCCTGTGGATAAGTTATTTACAGCTGCAGCTTTTCATCTTATCACCAAGAACTTACAGGCCTCTCTTTTTATGTTGATCTATAACTTGCCTTCAATTTTTCATTGCTCTTCCAGAGTTTTAGCTCCCAAGTGTGCAGCGTGTGGACTTCCCATTCTGCCCTCCGAGGTGAGAGCCTTTAATTCCACATCCCCTCAGGGGAGGGAGCATCATGTCTCAGGTCTTGCTCTCTTTCGCACTTGACCCTGTGCCAAGACCAATGTCCTTGCGGATGGGGAGAGATGATCGCTTCCTCTGGAGTGCAACCTTTTGACCTAAACTCAAATGCTGTTCCTGAGATGTGACCCTTTTGCTCGATAATGAAGCTTATTCTTGCTGGGCCAGGCTGTTTTTTTCATCTCCTGCACTGCTGCTAGTTTTATTTTCGGGATACCTTTCCTCTATGTCAGTAAATGCTGGTGGCACTCATGAATGACTTCTGTGTGACCCCTCTGGAACTAACTCATTTTAATACTTGCAGGAGATGCATCTTGGGCAAAACCAATTTAAAATGCTGAGAAATGTGATATATTGAAATTACTAAATCATTAATGCATGACTGGAGATAGATGTGACTGTTAAACAGAGAGAATTTTACATTTCTGATGTTACATTTTAGAGGATATCTGCAGTCAGTTGATGATGAAGCTTTACTGTAAAAATAACTGCAGGTGGCAGGATTTATTTGTGCTGTCCAACCAGCAGCCCAAATGCATTTCCTCAACGTTCACATTCTTGCAGGAGGCAATCTACAGAGAGTGCATGTGTCTGATCCTGCTGTAATCCTTTGTCACTTCTCTTTTGCTTGAACGCTTACAGGGTTCTGATGAGACCATTCGGGTTGTGTCCATGGACAAGGATTACCACGTGGAATGTTATCACTGCGAGGTGGGTCAGCAACTTTCTCAGGGATTGGGCACTTAATAGTGATAACTAGTATTATTTTTAAGAGGCAAATAAATCTCCGCCCTTTCAATGGCAGCAGATGAGCAATTCAAACTTTGCATTGTGCAACTCTTTCTATCCGTGGCTGAGAAATTTCCAGTTTGAGGACAAAAGTTTTTGCAGCAATGTGTCTCAGCAATTTCATTTGCTATCCATGAAGTTATGGGCAAAGAGTTAATTACCACTTCTCAACTTGGCAGTTTATTTGTTACTGAAGGAAACGTGGTGACTTAGTAAGGTTTATTGCTGCCTTTCAGAAGCCTTGAGCTCCAGATCACATTACTGTATCCGATTTCCAAGTCAGGTTGTACAAAAATGCTAAGGTGATGACTGATCCTGTGCGGTGTAAGTTACCGTCACTCTCATGGGAAATGAATGTGTCATCAGGGCTGGAGGAAGGATATGGCTGCAGAAAAAAAATCCCAAGAGATGCCAGCTCTTAAACACTGTTTGATCTCCGTGCAGGGCTTCCCAGAGAGCCTTCATACTTCTGTGCTGTGAATTAAAATAAATAGATGGCTTCTTTCACTGTGCTCATAATGCAGTGAAAAGAGGCCCTGACCCAGCAGGCTGGTTTCACATCAGTACAGCTGCAATTAATGTAATGTGAAGAGGTGAATCCTACCTGAGAGTGTAAGGAGACATGAGCACATTTAAAATACATAGGGTTGCACCTCACCACGAGATAAAGCTTATTCAGTAAAACTGCTTAAGACAAATTTGTACAAGGCTGCCCCTCAAAATGCCAATGTCAGATGCTTTCCTTCTCGTGGCACATGTTGGACTTACTGGGAAGGAGCTGTTTGGCTGGGTGTCTTCCATCCTTGTCACAAAACCACCTTCCTGGAAGCCAGACCCCAGTTGACACTGGAAGATGAACACATGCTCTAATAATTTGCACGGCCTCTCTTTGCAGGACTGTGGGATGGAACTGAACGACGAAGACGGGCATCGCTGCTACCCACTAGATGAACATTTGCTTTGTCACTCCTGTCATCTGAAACACATAGAGAACGGCACAACCCCAGCAGCTGCGTACCAGCACCACTACTAGCCAGCGTGGCCAACATCAGAAAGCCAGGACAGAAGACTTGTTATATGATCTCCCTCTCCCCACCCTCAGTTGATTTCCTGTGCATGTTTTTCACCAGTCGACAATGTTCCTGTAAAAGGATATGAGAGATTTTTGCTGGATTCCCAGAGTTTGTATGCTTGTGAGTTCCAGCTGTATCAGACCATGTCTACTTGACCAAGTATGTGGCGTGTTATCTAAACTGATTGGTTTACGTGCCTTTTTCTGCTGTCTGGAGATTCCTCTTGGCTCATTTTGGAGGATTCTTCAGTGAAAGCACAATTTGCTGTCGTGCCTATGAACTCAGATCGTGCCATGCACAATTAAAAAGCCAGAGGCTGGCCTGCCTGCCTGCTGGGGACATCCCGTCAGTCTACTAACTGTTTCCTGACAAGCACATTTCATCAGATTCCCTGAAGGACATCAACCTATTAATACCAGTTTTTAGACTCTCTCTCTCTTTTTATTAATTCTTTAGGAAAAGAAAAGAAAGGGGTCTGTGCAAAATGGCATACTCAGACCTTCCAGTTCCCTGAACTGGATTCCCTGAACTGCGGAATCAAGTCTGCTGTAAAAGCACCAACTCTTCGAGCACAAACCAGGCGTGCTGGCTGGCAGCTGGAGGCCGACATCCCATTTCAAACAGAACAAAAAACTGGAACAAGCTAGGCTGAGCTACTGCGATGACTTGGGGCCCGGGTTTGCGTGTCAGCGTGATACACAGGGCCCAGCCTGCTGTGTCAGAGTCTGAATAGTGGATCATATTTGGAAAGGAAAGGCCGGGATGCTGAAAGTGTGGACACGGGGGAAATCAATCCTCGTTCTTGCTTGCAGAGCTCGCTTTGGAAAAAAGCTCTCCCTATGCAGAGACTTGCCTGAGTTTTCCAGTTTGTCCCCACAGCTCAGCCCCCAGCCTGGCCACTCCTTCTTGTGGTGTTTACCCAGCACAAAGCCATTTCATAATGGTGCTTATTTAGAGCTCTGGGAACAAACCTGAGATCGTTACAAAGGCTTTGTTACACAGGGATTTAGAGCCCAGCTCCACAACCTGTACTCAGATCTGAGTATGTTGGTATAAACAGATTTGCTCCCATGAACAATAACAGCTTATCTGAGCAAGGGGTTAGAGAGTTTGACCCTTACTTTCTGTTCTGCTGAGAAAGCAGAAAGGCAAATTGTTTCTCTTTTTGACCCCTCCCTGCTTTATAGTCAAAGAAATCTGCTCCCCCAGTATGTGTTACATGTATGATAGGTGTGCCTGCAGTGCATGTTCTGCAGGTACCAAAGCTGTGCAGACCCTCATGTACAGGTACAAAGGTTTTGTTTAAGAAAAAGCTCTTAATTTAAAGCCTCAGATGCAGCTGGGGATCTTAGCTACCCTTTCCAACATACTGTGGGGAAAACTAGTTAAATCCTCATGTATCTACGCTAAAGACATAAATTTGGTTCTGGTTGGTAGAGGCTGCAATGACATTCTTGAAAATCTTTTTAGTGAGGAAACTACAACAAAGTAGTTGAGCAGTGGCACTGGGACTCCCGAAATAAGCCCATGTTGAGAACTCACTATGGTTCAACCAAACCTCTTTTCCAGTAGCAGGGATGTAGCGAGGCAGCTGCTTGAACTTCACACCATGTAGTCAGGCTGCCTAGTGTACCCATCGGGACGAGCACAGGCACCGGGTAGCAGCAAGCTGCTTGTCTCTGCCCATGCTAGTAAATACCCCGGGCTTCCATTTTGCGTGGTGCAAGTTGCTGCGCTAAGTATTAAACAGAGGCACAAGCATCTGCTGTAAAACAAATGGAGACCAGTGGCCTGTCAGCACCCTCCTGCACATCTGTATCAGCCTGCCTTGGCTGAAATGTGAACGTCTGAAACTGCCCAAGCCTCAGGAGCTTGGTGGTTTTGGCATGGAGTTTCATGGGGCCGACAGACCATCCAGCCTGCTGCCCCATCCAGCCGTCAGTGCCTGCGCCTGTTGCTGCTGCTCTTCGGGATGGGGACAGCAGTACGTGGCGGGAGGTCAGTCCTGCGCTGGAAACCATCCGGAGCTCCAGCTTTGCTGTAGCTTGGCTCTGCAGCGTTGTTTCTCCTGGGGACATGCAGCCCCTCAGTGAGTGACCGAAAGCTCCAGGCTTGGGGGGGGACTTTCCCACTGCAGTACACATGGCTCTGAGGCATATATATATCTTTGGAGAGTTTTACCTGTGATTTTAGAGGAGGTAGAATTGACCCCAAATACGTGAGGTCCCTAGAGCCTTAAATTTAGCCTCCAAATGCTGGATAGTGAAGGGATGGGAGCCGACACAAAATGTAACTGGTGCTATATCCAGGCACTATGGATCAGGGGCAACGAACCAGCTGGGGCAGATCCTGCAGTGCTCTCACCCCGGAGCATCGCATCAGCTTGTGTCCTGCAGTGCAGCTAGGCCTGGGGCAGGGGTGTTTCAAGGTATGACTGTGATCTTAGGACTGTCTGCAGGGACTGAGGTGGGAAATAACGCCAGCTGATGTCCCTGGTAAATAATTCAGAGAGTCCTGGGCAGGTGGTTCCTCTCCCTGAGCTTCCTTTGGCAGCGCAGGCAGCGAGCTATCAAAGTGGCTTCTGGAAGTAGGCTGGAAACACCAGCCTTGTTCATCTGTTGCTCTGTCTGAGATCAGCTGCTGTGTGGCTCAGGCTTTTGGTAGCTCTTGATTTTTAGAGCAACCCCTCATGCATGTTTTCTGGCCTTCGTTTTGGAAAGAGCTGAAAACACTAGTGGGACTGCTATTTTCCTTTTAAGCTGCGGTTTAAACTACTGTTTCACTCTTGCAGCCTCCCCCAAAGTAAACAGGAAAGAAGGGGAAGGGGAGAAGGACAATTTCCCTTCGTGGAAAGCTTCGAGCAGCCTGTTTGTAGCAAGCTGTCTTGCAGGAGCCTCCTTTGCATCACCGGAAAGTTTGATCTCTGCTCCCACAGTGTCTTGTTACTCCTGTCAGCTGTCCCGTATCCCTCAGCTCTGGGGAAGTGAAGGCTGCCCTACTTTCAGGTTTGAGGTCCCGTATAAATTATTAAGTACCAATGCTCTCCTTTCCTGTATTTACAAAGAGCTAGAAACAACAATGTGAAGCTATTGAAAACAGACGGCATGAGTTTGTGGATTTGAAGCTAAAGCATCTACTGCATTGCTCTGCTCCCCTACGCATGCTAACTTGCACTGCTTTTGTCTTTGGGAGCTTGAATTCATTTAAGCTCATTATTATTTCTCCGAGGCTTTGGGTGTCGTGAGTCCCTGTTGATTGTCCCCGCCTTGTCCCTGGCTCTGCAGCTGCCTGACGGTGGGTCCGGGCTTGGGGGGGAGGCAGGGGCACCCTGCACAGGGGAGGCTTCTGCTCCTCCTGCTCCCCCAGCAGACATCTGTGGAGCTGCAAGCCCTCGCTGCCTGCCTTCAGGCAGCTCCCCCAAAGAGAAACACGGGCAGGCAGGCACCCCTAGAGCTGGAAGTGCAAGGCTTTGTGTCCTCTGTGGAAGAATTTCAGAAAACGTGTTAAATTCTGCCTATCTCCTGGCTGATACGTATTGGGTTTTGCTGTTCACGTGAACCTTGTTGTCTTTTTATTTATTGAGGTGCTGAAACGTGCTATGAAAAGTTAGTCTTAATTCCTCCCCCCGCATGCTTTTCTGACTGGTTTTAGGGTAGGGGAGCCTTGGAAGTCCCATTGTGCCGGTAATGAGTAACTCTCATGCAAATAGTTAAGTGAATTCCCTGAAATTTGCTTTCAGGACCTGAGCTTAATAGATTTTTTCATTCAGATCATGCTGTTAAATTTCTATTGTTTAGAATACAGAAACTCATTTAAATAGGGATGTTTGCATAAAAGCGGGGGAAAAGCCCCAGCTATAGAAGAAGCAGATATTTTCGTGTAATTTAAAGTGTAAGAAACACCCATGATCAAAGTGATTTAGGAAACTGCCCTGATGTTAAACACAGGGAACAGCAGTTTCAAACACCCCAGTGAGGAGCATTTGATGAGATCTGTGGCTCTTCAGTTTCCGAGTTTCATTTGGGGGCTTTTAAAATGTTTTCCCAGTCTTCCAGGGTTTAAATGACTTTTTGATAGATCTTTTTACTACAGAGTAAATAGCACCTTGGTCTGGAAATGGTGGAGTTTCGTCAGCATCAGGTGTGCTATGGCAGCCTTGAAAGGGGGAAACTGCACTTGTAAGAGCTGGTATGGGTCTGGCTGGCCATTCAAAAGAAAGGGTTATCTTTGGCTGCCAAGAGAAGAAAGTAAATATCTTCCTGTGCTTTCTCCTTGTGCTGATTTTTTAGCACTGGGCAAATCTTTGGCATCTCTGAATTTCAGTATTTGGGTCTGTTCGTAAGCGTTGCTGTGACTTCCACCTCTGTCTCCTGTGAGTTCACAGCCCTGGGGAGAATCGTAGGCACAGGCTTCCTAATGAATTTAGTCCCTATTTTAAACTTCCCTGGAAATTTTACCACTTTATTATTTCAGCAACAGCAAAACTGAGTCCTTGCTTCAAGGAAAATTTGACGCATGCTCTCCATCCTTACTTGAACGCTTTGACCTGATCCTCCAAATTACCTGACTATCAGCCTGCTGCTGGTCGATACAGCGGCAGCTTTGTACTCCGCTGCTGTTGCTGAGAAAATCACATGAAGGACTCCATCTGCATTGAACTTCAACTGTGCCGGCAGTCCCACTGAAACCAGTAAGGCTGCGCACGTACATGAAAATCAATGTGTGTGCGTAGGTCAGTGTTGGATCAAGGGCAGAGTGATGTTATTACAGACAAGGCATACCTGAGGGTGAATCTGTGGCAGTGTGCAAGTTGTCTTGAAACGATGGCTGAAATGGACTGCCAACTTTTTTGTTCAATAAACAAAAAGATGTACTGAAGCAGTGGAGGTGCATGGAGAAAGAAGGATGTGACTCAGAAGATAGAGTAGCTGTAGGGAAAAGAGGGCAGGTGGTTACAGAGAGCAGGGGAGAAGGCAGCATGGAGGGAATTTGCTTTGGTTTATTGTATTTCTGGACATTTATTAGAGGGGGTTTTGAGGGGTAGCGCACCTGCGTACACCTGTCTGGACTGTGCTTCTCCCATGTCAGCCTTGGCTGCGTGCTCTGTGTTCGCTTTTAGGGTGATGCGTGCTGTCATGCCTATGCACATGGACGTGCGGCACGTGCTGCCTGCGAGAGACCTGCCTTTCACACCTCTGTGCCCGTGCCAAGTATTTGTCGGTGCATTTGAGCAACTTTCTGTGCGTGAATATAAGGAAAAGTTGACCCAGGCTTCATCGCTGGGGAAACATCTCTGGAGTCAGTACCTGCGGGCAGGGAAGGGCTATGTCCAGATACACATCCCTTTTCCCCCATCCTCTGACAGGGCCCATTGCCTGTGTTGCTGGGAGGGGTTTTGCTCCTCTCATCGTATAGTGTTTGTGCATTCATTTCTCTTTTCCATTTCTGTGTCCTGCTGTTCGCTGGCTGCAGTGGCACTACGTGT